ATTTTCTTAAATTGAAACATTCGCCTGCGACGTCTACCGCAGCCTGTGTACCGACGGCGAAACGACATGCGAATGCAGGTGGTAGCGCAGCATTGTTACGTCATTCGACCAATTAGTTCATCTGTCACTGGTAAAAAATACATGTACCAATCTGGCCCAGTCTCTACCATTCAGTGAGCATTGAAACTCTGCCCGTTTTGGCTGGTGACAAAGGGGCGGCGGAGAATTATCAAGTTCTCTCACCTTTCTATATGAAATTTGGAACACCGAGGGCCAGGTTTGATACGAATGCACTGGGAATGATATGATAGAATATCGTCTTTGTGTGCAAGTAACCCACAATGCTGGTCAATCACTTTTGAACAAGTGGTTTTTTGTTCAATAGTTAGCTGGGAATTCGTGAGTTAGTATCTCTTTGAAGGTTTGCGGGTGCCGCACTGCTACTATTTCTCAGCAAGAATAAAACAGCCACACAGGTCTTTTTGAATTTTTGGCGTGGATTTATTCTTCCTACGGGGAGAAAGTCCCATCAAAGTTCCAAGCTCATATCGTACTATCAACTGCGTAAGGATATGTGGACATGGATATGTGAGCCTAGGGTCAGATTGCCCAACCATATGGTGGACAGATACATCCACCGGTACTTCCATGTCACTCAGATCAAATCTTTTAGAAGGTTGTCGGAAATCATTCGATTCGGTGAGTTACACATACACTTTTGATCGAAACATTCAAACTTCGCAGCTTGTAGTCATTTGAAGCAGTGTAGCGTGCACCTGCGTATAAAGTTATTCTTAGCCCCCTCAAGTCATCGTGCGTACTCCTAATCGATGACGGCTTATTGATCGTTAGTCAGTAGCATTGAGGTTGTGCACACCAGCTGCGTGTCAGTGAGCAGTCATTCCCTGTTTTTTCATGTTGAGAGTGGTAAATTCGAACACATGCGGCTTTGGATATTCCGCAATGTGTAGCCCATCCTTCCTACATACATTGTACGATTGTGGTAATGGGTTATGAGGTGGGATGTTGTGGTGGGTAGAGCACCCCATCAGCCATTTTATTGCAAACTATCACGCACACGCACGAATTTTATTTTCCCGAATCTATGGTATATGCGAAGACATTCGACGAAAGTTTCGGTGATATATTTCTCATGCCAGGGTCATCAATGACCGCCGATTTCTATGCATTTACCCAGATACCAATGCAGCGTTATTCTAAATTATTGCGTCTATCTACGGTCTAGGGAAAGGAAATAACTCTTAATTCATTTGCTTCGACAGCCCACGACCGGTTTCGCCATTCTTGGGGCTCATCAGGTAGGCGCGGTCCCCGAGTTTCTGTCAACCTTATGCTCCCAACTTTATGAAACGAAATAGGACTTATTATGTGTAGTGCACACCTATCAAATAGTGGGTCTGGAGAGCCGTTAGGAATGAAATTCCTGCTTCCACAACCCACCCAATCGCACATGGTGGCGTCTGCCTTGACATGGCAGATCACAGCAACACTTCCCCGTCAATTGCTATAGTAGATATGGTCCGCAAGCCGTCACCACACTCCGATGGTCCAAATGGTTGCTGGCATCCAGTGGCATGTCAGTGGCTATCAGCTGTTTGCTGGTTCGAATTCACTGAGCTGTTTCACTGGCTGAACGTTCCCTCCCGATTGGTCTCCGGGTCTCACCAAGAATGTAAGAATATTTTCACAGTTCCAAAACATGAATGAATTGTGGTTGCCAACACTTGTGCTAACAAAACATCTCGAGGGATAATGATCCATGGATGCCAATACCTCTAGATCATTCAGCTTGACACGCACTCGCCACATACTAAAAACGCTTTCCTATAAACGGAAGCAAATAATGATGGCGGCGTAATGGATCTGCTAACTTTGTATGATTTATGGTAAAAGTTTACGCTCAAAATGATTTCGAGCCATCACAGATTTTACGGTACACATCATCGCCAAATGTAAACTGATAAAGCTTTCAAAAGGGAATTTCGTACATCCTTTGTCTGGGTTGACCCGCCGTCGTTGCCCGTTTCGTATATTTGGTCCTGATTGTTTTGTGCTATGAGGACACGCCGCCTGAATTTATTGATCAAGTTGGTCAAAATCAAATTGTTTGGTAGAACAAACTCGAAACCGCTAATTATCACAATGTTGTTAACAGAATACTACCTGTTTGTTTTTGTTTCGCTAGACGATGAGTGAGATTCTGGAATTCGAATACTTCTCTGTCACTTGATGATCACTTTTTGGTGTCGGTAAGAACCTGGTAATGCTTCCTATAAAAACATGGATACGTAAATAGCAACCGTACAAGCAAACCATTGTACTTGATTTGATATTTTAACCATACCCTTCTTCATATCTGGGATCAATAAGAACTAGTCTGGTGTAAGCAACGAGTTCCTCTCGTGAATAGAAAGTTGGCAGCCGAGTATCCTTCAGTTCATTGTGTATGACATCTGATTGGAATGACCGAGTGCTTTTATGTGGCAAGCCGTATAGGCTGCTGATAGCTGGGAAGACAGAGACCAAATACTAGGTCTGATGACATCCGCTGATAATGAAGACTGCATTTGACGAAAACTATGTTCTCGGGCAATCGCTGAGGACTGCCAAATCTTGCATCGTTCACCAATCAGTTTTCTAAAATTTGCAAGGCATCGCATTTTGTCATATGTTTGCAGAATGAATATGAACATACGGTCTAGTACAGTTTGTCTGCTGACATAGTTACGAAAATTCAAAAGCATAGGCTGAATATGGTCGAGTGTAATTTCGAAGAAACAAACAAGCAATACGATACAGCGCAGTTTTCATTCGATTAACGATTGTTTAGTCTTGTCTGGGGGAAACCATTGCTTCTGCTGCTTAAAATGCGGGCTCCATTGCTTGGCACCCGCTGGCTAATGCTTGGTGATTGATTTCCA